ATTATAATTTAATTTTCATCTCTTTTATCAACTTTTTAGTCATTATATTATTTTTAACGATTTTAATTTTGCTAATGCCAAACCCGTCAAACAAAATAAACCGAAATTAAAGAAAGATAAGAGCCGGCAGTGAATCTCACCATGAAAGTATTTTTTTCTGCCACAAGTAAACAATTCTAACTAACAAAAACAAAGAACAAAAAAGAACTAAAACTGAAACAAAACCTAAAAACCGCAGTCAATTAGCAAATGCATCGGGATACATACTTTTACCTTATTTTAATTTTTATGTTTATAGTTTGTGATATTTATTATGCTACCCTTTTAGATTTTGGGATAATTTTATTATTATTTTTATATCACTTTTCTTTGTTTTGGGTTTTTTCTTGACGGTTTTTTTTTCTTCATTCGTCAATCTCCTTATGATTTCCGGATAGCAGCACGGAGGGGACTTTTAGACCTTCAAACACTTCGGGGCGGGTATAAGCGGCAAAATCTAATTGTGAATTAGCAAAAGTTTCCTGCTGATAAGATTGTGGGTCAATTGCTCCCGGAATAGCCCGAATTAAAGCATCCGTAATTGTCAATGCTGGTATCTCTCCTCCCATGGCAATAAAATCACCAATTGATATTTGCTCGTCAATATAATGTCAAATTCGTTCATCAAAGCCTTCATAATGTCCGCAAATAAATACTAAATTGGGGGATTGATTAAGGAGTCTCGGTACATCTTCTTGGATAAATTTTTTGCCTTGGGGGGAAAGTAAAATTAAATAACTGTTCGGATAAGTCTCTTGAATAGCAGCCAGGGCAGCCACTAATGGCTCAATTTTTAAGACCATGCCGGCTCCTCCTCCATAGGGATAATCGTCCACCTGTCCTTTAGTAGCAAAATCTCGTAAGTTGTAAACTTGATAAGTAAGCAACTTTCTCTCCCAAATCTTTTTGGCGAGGGAAATCTGAAAGTAATTATAAAAATATTGGGGGAAGAGGGTGAGATAAATGAAGTTAGGTTTCATAAGGAGAAAGAGGATAAATTATTTTTA